ATATATATATATATACACATACGTGCGCGCTTGTGTGTGTGTGTGTAGAAGGGTGTGAGGGAGCAGCTGCAGCAGGGGTGTTGCGTCTGTGTCATGAGAATCAATGCTTTTCCTCTTGACTGGAGCTCCAGTGCTCTGTAAATTCCTGCAGCCTCAGAAATATGCACTATGACACTTTATGCATCAAACTCTCTGTAGCTCGTTGTGACTGAACTTAAGGAGGCATGCCAGATCTGGCATTTAAATGACACTTATATACAAGACTGATCTGTAATTTCAAACCCTTTTACACAACCCGTCTTGTTAACTTCCATTTTAGACAGTGATTTTCTGTATGTTACAGGAAGTCATTCAGCAATCTCTAAAGAGCATGTCTGACCTTACTGCATTCAGCTGTGTAGAAAGAGCAATAGGGATAGTATCATCCCTAAGTTAAGATCAATACATCTTGGATTATCAAGTGGTGCAATGATTCAGCAATGCTCCTCTATAACACTGAAGTCAGTTTAAAAATCAAAATGTATCCAGCAGAAACAGATATTTTTATTCCACACATTATTCCTCCTACATTACCCACAATACAATGTGGGTAATTTGAATGTGTTATGCTAGTAGCAGCTAAAGTAGCCTTCAGCCACTATCAAGTCGAAACGAGGGGCAGGTGAAAGCTCAGTTTTTGTACTCCCCCCCCTCCCCCCCCCCTTTTCAAACTTCTCATCTTCAGACCCAACCGCCGCTGACTCAAGTGACATCACTTGAAGCAATTACTCAGATTTTACGGAGCTCCATCTAGAGTCGAAAAAGGCTTTATACTACCTTTGATCACATATACAGCATTTTCCAAGACCTGTAAACTGACTTTCATGTGTAAAATTGGTGCAATTCCACTTTAAGGTGGATTTGTCTATTGCTGGTGGTTGGAGAGGAATTATCTTTCCATTATTCTTTGAAGTCTCCTGTCATGTCGTCCAAATTTCTATTAAGATGGCAGAATGGCCTTGTGCATATTGAGGTCGACCCCAAAATGGAGTGCCTGGGTTTATCAGGGAAGATACTTGACCCATTTTGAAGTCTTATTGCATGTAGAGAGGTGGGTAGTTTGAGAGAAAATTCGGAGAGAAGAATGAATGATTGTGGAGGAAAGAAAAATACAAATCAACACCGGTGGTTCTGACCTTGGGTGAGGGAGGTATCAGAGGCACGGCGTCCTTCTCTGAAGCTGATGGGTGAGCGGTTGTGCGCCTCCCTATGCTGGGAGGTCAGGGCGGCCATTGCTGGGTTGGCGGGCCGAGCACTCAGGAAAGGCGTAGGGGAGACGCCGGGGGCCGAACTGTTGCTTGGTACCACTTCACTGAGAGAGGGGGGATCCTCCAGCAGACCCAGGTCGCTGTGCATGGAGCCCATGTCGTAGCCAATGTCTGAGTCCACGCTACCCATGGAGGGGTTGTGGCCGAGAGTGAATAATTTACCTGGAAGACCAAACGTTTTTATTCAATTTCAAGGAAATGATCCAGAAAAACAGCTTTTTTTTAGTGACATAAAAGTCTAAACGTCTGTGTTTGATCAGGTGACATCATACCTTGGTTTGAAGGACCCGGCTGGTTGGTCACCTCAGAGAGGGTGTGTCGACGTTGGCCAAACCGAGCTGTCTGATAGGCCGAGAGTAGGTGCGGTGGGTCATCCTCTGTGTCGGGCTCCTCTGTCTCGATGCCCTCATCGATCGACGTCTCCATCATGTTGCTAGGCGACGAGGTGGAGGACTTGCGGAGGACAGTGGGGGGAGGCAGGGGGTCCAGCAGGCAGCCGTTCACCTGGAGGGCAGGGATAAAGGGGAGGACAGAACAATAACTATACATCCAAAATTGACTATGCCAGGAAGAAAACAGCATCACATTGAAGGAACCATTGTTAGTCAAATCAGACCTCTAAACACACACAGTGCACACACACACACCTACACACACAAGCAAACACACAGAAAATCCATAATTTTCACTAGACCACTTGGATACAAGAAGGCGACCACCATACTGAGACTGAGGGCTCCATTAGATACTCTCCTCCCTTTGTATTCCCTCCACTCACCACAGTTGGTCTCATACTGGGAGTGTGTGTGTTTGTTACAGCATGTAGACAGGTCTGTGTGTGTTGGCCTAGAGGTGGAGGGTGGGGATAAAGGAATGCAGGGCCAGGAAGTGAGCTTTGACTGAAAGTGCTGTGTGACTGACACACACACACACAAAGATCATCTGCATGAGTGGCTGCAGTAACCGGAAAGCCTGGTGTTGGCCTAGAAAGAGCAACTTTGCCCAATTCCCCATCTGCTTTCTGTAGTGTGCTGGGATAGGAATGCTGTTACTCAACACACACATACACACTGAGGACAAGAGGGGAAAACGACATTGAGAAATAGACGATTGCAATGGGTGGGGGTCATAAGGGGTGAGTGAAGTTAAAAGATGAAGAAAAGAAGAGAGAGAAGAATCTGAAAAGAAACAAAAGACAAAAGAACAGGGGAGCCAAAAACCTAAAAAAGAAAAGATGAGCTGTTGGCTGATGGGTAGGAGGGTCACAGTGGCGAGATCGCTGGAGCAGCGCAGCAGCTTCCTGTCCATGTGTGTTCACTCAGCTTCACATTAGGTCACATCATCATCGTCACAGGACCGCTTACATAACCAGGCTCCATTCACGCAGATAACGCACACTCTGTCTCCCTCTCTGCTTACCATACACACGCACACACACACAC